TTCTAATTAGAAAATTTATAGAAATTGATTTATAAGTATAATTTATGAAAAAATATCTATTAAAGCAATTCAACGTGGTATGAAATTGATATTTAATAATTTAGTATTGTAATTTTTTCGTAGAATTTATAAAAAATTATAAAGTAGTTATTACTTTAATGGTAAACGTGTATAAAAATTGAATGGCTTGACACAGAACTTTTTAGATAATAATTTGTTGTTAACTATAAATAATTATAATTTATTTATTTATCAATTCTGCAAAAAAATTTCATCAGAGTAAAATAAATACTTTTATTATTCAATTGTTCGTGCTATTTTTGATATTATTACTAATTAGTTAAAAACTGTAAGGAAAATATTTCAATTGTATCATCTATTTAACCAGCAAGAATTATATAGAAATTATTACAGATTTTAATATTTTAAAAATAATCATTGCAAAATATCATTTTTAACCTATTTTTTTGGTATTATAAAGTTAATTTTTTGAAAGTTTATGTTTAAAAAAATATTGAAATTTACATTATTAAAAAGAAAATTTTATAAGAATAAAAAAATTGTATTGTTAAGATTAATATGGAGTCAGGAAATTGTATAATTACTATTTACTGTAAATTTATAGAAAAGTTCAATATTTTAGCTTCGATGCGAAGCTGAGAAGGTATTAGTTTTACTAAGATGTGTTTATTTTTTTTTTTTTTTTTTACGTCAAAAGATCTCAAATTGTATCTAGTCGAAGACATTACCCTCAAAAATTGAAAAAAATGCCCTCGTTCCCCGTAAATGGGGAAAAACCTCCAAAAAAATTACAAATTTAAAAATCGCTAATTTTTGAAATTTTTTTAATTTTTTTTACTTAAAAGTGCCATAACTTTTTTAAAAATGAACATATCAATATAATTCTTTTTTATATAGATGTGTAATATCATTACCTTTCGTTTGGTATTTTTTTTTTATAAAATTAACCCTTAACCTGCCCACAAGGGCATTATCAAATGCTATTATTGTGTGAAAATTCTCGATTTTATTTTTTAACATTTTTAACTTTATAATGCTATGACATATTGAAAAGTGTATTGATAAATATAATTTTTTTATGAGAAATAATATTTTTTAATAATCCCTTTTTCATTCGACGTACTTTATCTTAATCAGGATATTAATAAGGAACTAGCAGTTTATGAAGCTTTTGGAATAATCCACCAATTTTTTAAAATTAAACACTATCTAAAGATTTGCATCGAAGCGTTTTTTTTTTTTAGTGATTTTAATCACTGTCAGATATCATTATACTTGATCCAACTATGCCACATCACCACTGTGACGCGACCCCCCTGTGCTGGGTTTTTAACTTTATTATGCTATAACTTTTTGAAAAATGTATGGATCATTACAATTTTTTCATGAGGAGTAGTATTTATATACATCTTTCATTCGACATACTTTTTTTTTAAATCGGACCATTTCCCTTAATACAGGGGGGATTCAAAACATAAAAATGCATATAGAAAGTAGAATTTTTTCAACTTAATTTTTGAAAGTGTTCCAGAAGGTCTGACACTTTTATATATATCTTAAATTAAAGCTAATGTAATGTACTTTATTATGCGAAAAAAAAATTTCGGACTTCATTTTATCTTCACGGTGAAAATGGCTACGGAATGCTATTATTGTGTGAAAATTCTAGATTTTATTTTTTACAATTTAGCTTCGATGCGAAGCTGAGAAGGTATTGGTTTTACTATGATGTGTTTTTTTTTGTGTCTGTTACCACTTTTTCTCAGCTCTCACCGAACCAATTTCTTTCAATGATACGTCAAAAGATCACAAATTGTATCTAGCCGAAGTCATTACCCTCAAAAATTGAAAAAAATTCCCTCGTTCCCCGTAAATGGGGGAAACCTCCAAAAAAATTACAAATTTAAAAATCGCTAATTTTCGAAATTTTTAAAATTTTTTTTACTTAAAATTGCTATAACTTTTTTTAAAATAACCGAATCTATATAATTCTTTTTTTTAGAGATGCATTGACAAGTATCATATCGTATACTTTATTATGCAAAAAAAAAATTTCGGACTTTATTTTATCTTCATGGTGAAAACAGACATCAAAGTTTATAAAAAAAATACGATTTTTGTAAAAAAATTCTTTTTTATATTTTTAACTTTATAATGCTATAACTTCTCGAAAGATGTATGGATCAATATAATTCTTTTTTTTGTAGATGCATGATGTCTTTACCTATCATTTGGTATATTTTTTTTATAAATCTGACTTTTTACCTGCCTACAGGGGGGGATTCAAAATGACAACTTTTTCACAAAAAATTGACTTTTTCAACTTAAATTTTGAAAGTGTTCCGGAAAGTCTGACACTTTTATATATATATTAAATTAATGCTAATGTAATCTTCTTTATTATGTAAAAAAAAAATTTCGGACTTTATTTTGTCTTCACGGTGAAAATGGCTATTATTATCAAATGCTATTATTGTGTGAAAATTCTCGATTTTATTTTTTACATTTTTAACTTTATAATGCTATGACATATTGAAAAGTGTATTGATCAATATAATTTTTTTATGGGAAATACTATTTTNTTAACTTTATAATGCTATGACATATTGAAAAGTGTATGGATCAACATTATTTTTTTATGAGAAATAATATTTTTTAATAATCCCTTTTTCATTCTACATACTTTATCATAATTAGGATATTAATAATGAACTAGCAGATCATGTAGCTTTTGGTATAGTCCACCAATTTTTTAAAATTAAACACTATCTAAAGATTTGCATCGAAGCGTTTTATTTTGATAGTGATTTTAATCACTGTCAGATATCATTATACTTGATCCATCTATACCACGTCACCACTGTGCCGCGACCCCCCTGTGCTGGGTTTTTTTTTCATTTTTATTGTAATTAAAGTCTAAGTCAAAAGCCTGAAATAACTACGTTTTTTTTTTTTTAGATAACTTTAATTTTTGAGCCAACTCGACAGTCATCAAATTTATTTGACTATCTGAGTTCAATAACGCACTAGTTAAAAAAAGACTACTTGTTTTATAATCAATTCTTATAATGGTTGTGGACAACAAAACTTGTTTTTTTTCACCGACCACCGCATAAGCACTTATGGCAGCGTTTATTCCCATTTCGACTGCTTGCACGTGCAATAGTGTATTATGACGTTCGCTGCATTTCCTACATTTGGAAAAATTNATGACGTTCGCTCCATTTCCTACATTTGGAAAAATTACATGTATTTTCAGCATGATGACCTTAATATATGACACATATATTTAATTGCTTGACTAATTCTTGACGTTTCTTTATGGATAGTGAAAGAAACTGAGGACAGCGGGTATATCACAATGATAACAACTTAATTTTATCGATGATGCGTGCATAGCCATTTTTTTGCCACTCCGGTTCTCTACGCCATCTGTCTTTTACAAATGACATTTCCTTTTTGTCACTGTCAACTTTAATTAAAAGCCTACGAAAAGCTTCTGCCGCTTCTAAAATTTGAATCCTTTTTTCTAAAAACTGTATTAAACCTTCAACAGTTGACATTTTTGTTTTAGGCGAAACGGTTTCCCACGACTTCAAAGTTGTGCTATCTAATTTTATTAAAATTATGTGTAGCAACATAGAGCACCAGTTTACTAAATCCGTTCTAAGTTGTTGGCCAAAAGAAAACGCAATTTACAAATAACAAAATATAGCTAAAGCATAATAAGTGCTGTTATCGTCCGCAACTGTCAATAATGACAGAGAAGGTAAGCTGCCGAAAAGGGGTGTTAAAGCCTCAGCTAACCAAATTTAAGACCTATGTCAAAATTTTCAATAATGATAGCGATATCGAGCATTTATTAAAATTAATAAAAAATAAGTTTGAAGAAAGCTGGAACGTGTTTCAAAAACTACAGTCCGAAATCGAGGACAAGTTGTCGAAGCAAGACGACGAAGAAAAATATAGAGACAACTATGTAAATGATTATTTCAAAGCTCTTACTGAATGTAGTAGAGTGATGGAAAAATAAAAAGTAAATGATCGGGAAAGCGCGACTTGGTCACAACAATAATTAAATAGTTTCTGAATTTGACGGTGAATACAAAAATTGGTCCAAATTCAATGACAAATTTTTAGTCTTTATCGACTCGTAGCCAAGAATTTCTAACATACAAACATTCTTTTATTTTTCTATTTATGACATTACAAAATGACCTTAAAAGGAAAAGCTGCGAAGACAATTCAGTCATTATGACTGAAACTAATTACAAGTTACCGTGGCAATGTATTAACGACCTTTTCAATAATGAAAAATTCATAATTGAAACTCATACAAAAGTTATATTCGATGTAGAGGTTATTAAAAGGAAGTCAGCTTCTGAATTACGTTGTTATTAGATCCATTAGCGGGAGAAATGACTACGCTAAAACAACTTTTCTTCAAAAGCTCATCTTTACACCTCTAACCTTTATTTATTTTCCTCCCTTTTTCTTCTATTAACACTATATCATCAGCGAACAGCATAAACCATTTTCCCTTTATCATCTTCTACATTAAAAATCTATAATATTCTTTAGTTTCAATATACATTACATTTAATGAAAATTAAATTACATTACATTCAATACCGTGCTAAAAATATTTTAAAGATAGTAAAGTTAATTTTTCTAAAATTTTGAAATAATTACATTAGTTAGATAAAATTTCTTAGTCTTATGTAAAATACTTAGCTATGACCGAAAATATAAAATTAGCACTAACAAAAGAGTTTTGTAAAAAAAAAAAATATATTTCAACGTAATTTAATATTATTTTTTTCTCTAATAAAACTCAACAGTACTAAGTTATTTACAGATAAAGCGTTTTTGTACAAATACTGGTAATGACGATAGTAGATTTTTCGCATCTGTGTTTAACTATGCTATTAATATAAATTAATGAATAATATAATTAACCGTTATTAACGTATTAAATAGTTGAGCAATCTAATGATTACTAAAATTTCTCTCTATATATAAATTTATCAATTTATATGCGTACAAAAAAAATAATTCTAATGATTTTATTAAAATTATTAATAACATTACATATATGCTATGGAACATCTGGTAATCTAAAAACAGAGTGAGTATTAATTCGTATTTTTCCATTTAAAAAATGTAAAAAAATTAAGGAGTATCCAAAAGAAACAATTGAGTATATCTCATGGAACGGACTCGTAGATTTAATTAGTGAGAAAGAGGTATTGGAGAGGCAACAATGAAAAATAATAAACCAGATGATTTACCAATAGAAAAATGGAAAATATCAGGCGGTATTGACATTAGGTGGTTAAAGGATCTTTTTAATAAAATCTTATTAAAAGGGAAAATGCCAAAAGAAAGGAGGAATAATACTGCATTGTCGATATTTAAAGGCAAAGAAGATATACAGGAGTGTGAAAAATTATAGAGGCATAAAGCTTATGTGTCGTAGTATGAAAAATTAAAAAAAGGTAATAAGAAAATAAAAAATGAAACATACCTAAAAACCAATTGGGATTTATGCTTGGTAAGTCAATAATGGGAAATACAAGGAGAGGTGACGTGGTGTATGTGGTTCGCTAGCGATATAAAGTTAATAGTAGAAAATAGGTAGGAAAATAAATGAAGGCTAGAGGTGTGAGGATCAGCATTTGAAGAAAAGGTTTTAAGAATAAGTAGAAATAAGACAGAATATATAGAGTACGAGTTTGACATAGGAGAACACGAGGTAGGTGAAATGAAAAAATCAATAACGATATGTGAGGACGTGATAGAAAAGGTGAAATGTTTTATTTATTTAGGTGAAATGTTTTATCTATATCAGTTATAAGGTGATTTTAAGCGTTTGGTGTCTTATGCGATAAAAGAATTCCTATGAGACTGAAAGGTAAATTCTACAAGACTGTAGTGACACCAGCTATGATGTATGTTTCAGAGTATTGGGCGGTTGACAAGAAAGTAGAGCTGAGAATGAGTGTAGCAGAGATGAGAATGCTTAGATGGATGAGTGTTGTCGTAATTTAAAATAAGCTTTGTTGTAATTTAACTAATAAAGAGTAAAAGTGTAATAGAAATTATATGTGGTATTAAACTATGTAGTGAATGCTTTTTGAGATTTTATCGGGGCAGTGTGGTTCGAGAATCTGTTATTGCTTGTAATGAAGTGCACATTAGATTGGAATAATCTTACCTGAGTTATGTAATCTTTTAATAGTACAGTTTCAACTTATGGGATGGCAATTAACACACAAACTCGAATAATCACTAATTTATAGACAATGTCTTTAATAAGTTTATTTTTATAATCACATAAAACAATGATAAAAGATTAGCAATGCAAAATTGACACGAGGAAAAATTGTACAATAATATTTTTAAATCAGTTTTTACAGGCACGAGTAACATAAAAAGTATTTTTACAATTTTCACGAGTAGACAAAACAGAGCCAGACGATAATCGCGACGTGATCGCGCATTGGGATAAAATCGAAACAGGACGAAACTATGAGCCCAGGGATGTTCTTGGTGCATTTCCCAGGTCCCCTTTCATAGATGTGGATAATCATCGTCCAGCTCTTATTGGGTTTCACATTTTAGGTCTTCTATAATTTGTTTACATCGTGAAAGGGTTTCTTTAACTATGGACAATAAAGAGTAACATTCGACTGTTTGATATTTGATTATTTAGCGTTTGCATGTGTTGAAAAGGAGCGGATGTTTGTGGCGTGATCGTGGGAGTTATGTGTTTGGCTGTTTTAGAGGATAGAAAGTGTTGATTGTGTTTTGTATTTTATATATAGAGCCTATTACAACAGTGGAATAACAAGATAAAATAATGAACAATCAAACAAGAAGGAGTATAGGTGTAGTGTTATCCGTGGATAAGATAAGAGAAAATAGACTTGGTCATGTTATGAGGAAAGAGGAATTGAAAGCTGTAAGAATAGTTATGGAAGAATAGTTGAAGGAAGAAAAGGTAGAGGAAGACCACAAAAAGAGATGGAGGGATGTTATTAAATATGGTACGAGGACGACTGATGTTTGCGCAGTTGATGTGAAATTTTTATTAGTAATATTGAAGACCATTATTTTTTTTCCACAAAAAAATTTTTAAAAAATTGTTGTCAAGACTTAAAAATACACTTATTTCTACAGCTTAGATAAATCATGGGCCGAATTTGATAAATATTTAAATTGTGATCACATACAGTATATTGGTTACTATGAAGGAATGGAAGATGATATAGACATGCATTCTAAAATAAAAACACAGTATTTATCTGGAATAAATAATATCAGAAATTGGCATAATGTAGGACCTCTAAAAGAAAATAATGAAGTAAATAATTTTTAAATAAATAGTAATAAGTAAAAAGTTATCAGCTTTTGGAAACTTATCATAGTATCTTACTACCGCACACTTACTGATCGAATCATACCTTAAGTGAACATGTTCTTCAATAAATTCTAATTTATCTAAGAAATATAGTGAAAATTAATTTTTATCTATAGAATATCTAACTTAATATTTCCTACTTAATTATTTAAAATAAAAAATAAGCTCGCTTTCAACAGCATCTCTCCTTATTACCATATTCAGATACAACACAGGTTTTTACATTACCATTAAATTAAAAACATTGTATCTTAAACACAGTGTTTAAACCTTAGTTACTAGTATTATACCCTAAAATTGTTTTTTATAATATCAAAACCTATTAACGTATGTTTTAAGTAAAATGTATGTTAAACATGTCTATTGTTATAAACCAAAAATAAAAAGGAAAGAAATGAAAGATTAATTAATTTGGTCGATGAAATGTTAAAGGTAAATAATTAAATAAAATATAAATTAATAGATGGAGGGTTTTTAGTTATATTAATTATGTGGTTTTTATTATTAAATTATAATTAAAATAAAAATTAAATGTCTCGTCTATAATATTTATTATATGATTTACACATTAATTGTTTCTTTATTTAATTATTAATTTTCCTATTTAATTTTTATTAATGTTTTATTGCGCAATAGATTGTTGGAAGTTCGAAAGCATAGGTTAAATTGTACTTAACATACGTCCTATGTAATACAATAATATTTCAAGTAATCCAGTGTTGATTTCCGCATTAAACGCACTATGTATACGATTTATACTATACGTCATATAGTCCATATAATTACTAACAAAAAAATAACGATTCAAGACTTTAAATAATATGATTCAATTACACAAAGTCTATGGCTGATCTTACTTGTAAAAGATTTTAAACACTCTATATCTTATTATAATATAATTTATAATCTGTATTTATTAATTTTTTACGTGCGTTGAATAAATATTTTTTTTGAGAGAGTATTTTTTTATTGAGAAATCGATACCAATATTTCTTAAATTTTCCTCTGGTCTGGCCAAAACAAGATTCAGAAATATCTATATCTATATAAAAAATTTATCAAGGCGAAATTGTGGTGGCCCAATGTGTCCCGGCACTAGAAATCGCCTTGAAAGGATGCGGCATAATAATCACCAGGATAAAAATTAAACATTGCAAATATACTCGTAAGTTTCTCTGTGTTGTCTGCCGGCGCGATGTTTGTTAAAACAAAGACATTAGCAACGAGACTAGCTACCCAATAAGAAAAGCTCACAATAAATTTTTATTATTAAATAAAAATCTAAGGTTAAGTTGGATTTGTTATTAAAATAAAATAATTTTAAGAAGATGTAATGTTTAAAATATTATTTGATATTAGTCTCACAACAAGAAAAATAAAATTTTATTAATGATTGAACAAATTAAATTAAATTAAAAGATTCACCAAAACAAAATTCACTTTAAAATTTCTAAGTGTCATTTAGTTTTAAAGAAAAATATTCTAAGTCCAAATTAATTAAAAAATCGACTAAATCCCGGAGAATGAAATCTCGAGTAGAGTGTCATAGATTTTGTANATCCCGTAGAATGAAATCTCGAGTAGAGTGTCATAGATTTTGTATCTTTTAAAATCGCCGAAAGAACTGGTTTAGATGGGGAAAAATAGCTTTTTATAGTTCGAAGAGGGTAGCCTAGCGATCTCTACCGTGATCCTGGAAGCTGAGACTTTGTATTCTAATTGGTTAATTAAAAGAGAGTCCTGCGTGTAGGCATTACTTAATAATTTCTACAAGAGGGAGATTTTTTGCATTATTAAAGGGTTATTTTGTATTTTAAATAAGAGAATCCTGTATTGGTGATCTTGTATAATCATAATATGTGACATACATGTACAAATGATAACATCATATTATATGAAATATTATATATGTATATATAATATAATATTACACTATACTTCTGGTCCTAAAAGGTACTGTTAAATGTTTTTACTAAAATTTCTTATATTGTTAATGTATACATTTAAAAGTTAAATGAAAATTATTTACAAGATTAATAAGAATTATATTCATCGTAAATATATTTTTTATTTCAAAGAATTGATTCTAAAAGTTTGTCCATTGAAAATTATTTATTTATTATTGTCAAAATGATTTTAGAAAAAAAATCTGTCATGATAATTTTTATATTAAATATAATAGAGTTGAGTTATTAGTAACTGAACCGAACAAAACGAGCGGCTTTGTAAAAATTTCCCCCATTCTAATAAACTTTGAAATGATACCACTGCCTTATACATAATAAAGATATTAACTTTAATAATTCAATTGATAACATAAATATTTAATCAACTTAACAAATAGAAAATGACTTATTTAAGAAAATAACTGGTCGATAACAATTATTGGACCAGTTTTCCAAACGTATTAACAATTTAAAGTAATTTCAACAATTACTTAACAAAACCCGCGCTTCACCTGTTGAAGGTGAACCGAGATTTTTGTAGTTTTCATCTTTATACATTTCCAGGCCGCACTTGTTTCTCTCGCCTAGGTATAAAAATGTTAATAACTTCCTAAATAATGGTCATATACTTTATTATACTAAATATATTTTTGAACACTTAATTAAAAGATTTGCAATAATACATTTTAAAACTATTGTTTATATTACTAGTATCGTAACGTTTTTAATAACAATAATATGATCTATAGTTGGATGTTTTTGCACAGTCATATGCAAATTATGCAGCCAGAACAGGACAATATGATAAATTCAATTCAGTTTTTGGACTATTATTCTCATCTCGTTTAGTTTCTAATGACATAGGAAAAATACCTTATGAATTGTATATAAATTTTGATAAAGACGATGAGCCTTTTGATTTTGACGCAAATGAGGATGAAATGATTAAATGTAAGTAATAATAATAAATTATAACTATCCCGTATAAGAATTTTAGGGGAGTTTTGAAAATATTTTTAATTAGCTCAATAACTTGTTTCTTTGCTGTGATATTTAATTGCTACATATTAGCATTAATTGTTCAAATCAACTTGTGATACCTCATATCGTATTAAATTTTATAATAACCAGTAAATTATTATTTTTATTCAACTACCTATTAGACATTTTTTTCATTAACATTGAGTTTAAGTTTTCTGATAATTATTGAACCACAATTGTCTAATTGTCTATTCTATCTATATTTATTGAAATTTGTTAATTTTTATTTTAATATAATATTGTTATTTGTGTAAAAATAATTATTTGGTTTATTTGGTAATGATTATAATCATTCATATTCTCTTTTATATTATTTATTAGTATTGATTATCTTTATAAATTATTATTGATCAAATTACGTTAAAGTATTTAAATATTGTATATAACTCTAAGGTTAAAATTTTGAATTACTTATTATTCACTATGAAGAAGCTTAATTTACTAAGATTTTTATTACTGTTGGACCAGCAGTGTCATAAATTGAATTTTTTTTTTCTGTAAACCGTAATGATATTTTTCGAATAAGCTGACAAATATCAATTAATATTTATTTGATTGAGTTTTATCTATTGAATTAATTTAAAGGCCCTAAACACATAAAACAAAAACACTTTTACAACGCTGCCGGTCGATTAAATTCTATGAGTCTAGCAACTGATGTAGACTCAGGTTTTCTTAATGTTAGCTCACATTCTATCATAAAATATTTATTATAACCTCCACCAGCAGTTTTTTTTTCTGCAATAAATCTATGGGCCACTGCATTTTTTCAGTATAGTCATACCATAAAATAAAAAACTGTTTTCGTGGAAGATCATAAGCTCTTTTGTCAATATTAATCACGCATTGTTTCAACTCCTTCATTTGTGCTTCAGAAAATGTTTTTTATACCTCCCTAAATTTTGAGGAAATTCACATCAATTTCTATTCCCACTGAAATATGAATTCGTTATTTAAAATATCTTCTTAGAGTAAATAGGGGTATATTATATTTTATTGCGGTAGCATTCAGACTTAAAACATAGCTTGTGACATCTGATGTAGCAAACATCATGTCTTTATTTTCCCAACTTTTCCTCTCACTTGTTTTTACATATTGCCGTGGAATGTTTGTACTTAATTGAAAAAAAGGCAAATGGTATAGTATTGTTATCGTTTCCGCCACATACTACTAACCACTTACAGTCATTGGATGTATCAGTCTATGGTCCCTTCAAAACATTTTATCATAATACAGCTAGTGGATGGATGGACTCTCACCCTGGTGTCCCATTATCTATCTATGATATACCGTCATTAGTAAAAAAAGCTCTCCCATTAGCAGCAACCCCAAAAAGTATTATATCTGGATTTAATAAAACTGGTATCTGGCCATTTAATAAAAATGTTTTTACTGATGAAGATTATTTGTGCTCCGCTGTTACTGATAGACCATTGACTGCTGATTCAATAAATAATACCGTCGCCATTGAATTACCAACTATTAGTAACTTCTGAAGACATAAGACCACTACCAAAAGTAGGTGAAACGAAAAATAATCGTACAAGAAAAAAGATGAAATCAACAATTTTAACTGATACACCCGAGAAAGAAAAGTTAAGACAAGAACAAGAGGCCCGTGATGCACAAAGAAGAAAAAAAGAATTGAAGTCTAAAAAGAAATTAGATTTAAAAAAAACTAAAACTAATAAAAAATCTAATTGTAAACCAAAAAACAATAGTCTAACGCAATAAGTTCTGAAGAAGAGGATGATTACTTTTGTAAAATATGTCTTGGAACTTATTCAAAAAATCACAAAGGAGAAGGTTGGGTTGAATGTTGTTCTTGTAAAAAGTAGGCTCATGATAAATGTGCTGGAGTAGGTGATTTATTGTTCTACAATTGCAAAAACTGCACTTCAAATATTGATGAAGATTTTGAAGATATCGCATGAAATAAGTTAAATAAGATTGTTAAAATAGTAACGCATAGGCTGCTGTTAACTTTTTTCTAATAAATAAAATCGATAATTTTCACACAATAATAGCATTTGGTAGCCATTTTCACCGTGAAGACAAAATAAAGTCCGAAATTTTTTTTTTACATAATAAAGAAGATTACATTAGCTTTAATTTAATATATATATAAAAGTGTCAGACTTTCCGGAACACTTTCAAAATTTAAGTTGAAAAAGTCAATTTTTTGTGAAAAATTTGTCATTTTGAATCCCCCCCTGTGGGCAGGTAAAAAGTCAGATTTATAAAAAAATTATACCAAATGATAGGTAAAGACATCATGCATCTACATAAAAAAGAGTTATATTGATCCATACATCTTTCAAAAAGTTATAGCATTATAAAGTTAAAAATATAAAAAAGAATTTTTTTACAAAAATCGTATTTTTTTTATTAAGTTTAATGTCTGTTTTTACCATGAAGATAAAATAAAGTCCGAAATTTTTTTTTACCATTATAAAGTATATTACATTAGCTTTAATTTAATATATATATAAAAGTGTCAGACCTTCCGGAACACTTTCAAAAGTTAAGTTGAAAAAGTTCTACTTTCTAAATGCATTTTTATGTTTTGAATCCCCCCTGTATCATTGAAAGAAATCGGTTCGGTGAGAGCTGAGAAAAAGTGGTAACAGACACAAAAAAAAAAAAAAAAAAACATATCTTAGTAAAACCAATACCTTCTCAGCTTCGCATCGAAGCTAAAAGGATAGATAAAAAATGGAAGTATGTAATTTGTAGTAGCGCTCATAGCTCATACACACGTCACTGTGACCCCATGTTCGTCGAACGAAATTTTTATATTCACTCAGCGAGTATCAATGGGGCTGATCACTTTTGGAGTTTTTGTTGCCACTGTGGAAAATCCTGACTCGTTTACATTGTAGATTTGTTCAGCTGTAAAAGAGTATTTTAATCTGACTTCTCTAAGTAAAGCCGCTAAATTTGTAATATGTAAATTTTTTCTTTAATGGCGTCGTCTAATCCTGCCTCCATTTTCTGTAGCCCTTCGGGTCTGGTAATGTATAATTTATTATTTTATGTTTTGAGCCATACCTATTTTTTTTTAGTGCGCCGTGCCTTAAGCACGTGTGGCGAATTGTTTTTTTATTTTATTAAATTTTTTTTTTAGGTGCCCCTATTTTTTTTATTTAGATCCCGCAACATGGCAGACGTGTGACAAAACCACCTGTCATGTTATATCTATATTTTTTTGTGATTTTTTTATAGGTTTTATATTATATTTTATGGGGTGATGCGTATGTATCATTAGTATAATGTGATAACGTAATGCATTTTATGAACGTCTTGCAAGCTAAGTCTAACTGTTTAAAACCAGTCGCTTACTTGGGACGTATACCCACCGTACTTAGCGGTAATGCTGTGATTAATAGCCGGTGGGTAAGACGTTCATCGTATTATCTATTTGTAAAAGTGTAGGTGTAACTAGAATTTTTTTTATTAATATCTGTTTTTTTTTCTCTCTGTTCCCCTTTAATTTTTAGACGAGGTTTTTGACCGTTCGGTTTTTTTGCCTCGTAATAACTTAATTTTTTTGTTTTTTTTTTAATAAAGTCCCCTTAATTTAACTTAACTATCACCTTACTTTTTTTGCGTGTTCCATCTTCATTGGACCGTTGTATTTTTTTATCTTTTTTCCTTTCAAAAATCAACTCCCCTTAGTTTATAAGGTACGGGCAACGGCCTTGTATAGGGTCATCCCTCATTATTATGGTTATGTGACAACTGTCACGAGGTTTTGGTATACATCTACTATCAACGACTCAACTGACATCGACTTCAACCTTTAATACTTTTCTATTTATTTTAAAATTGTTTTTTAATGTACAAAATTTAATTTCTTTTTAAAATCCTACTGTGGTCCGACAATACATTGTCTCGCCCAGTAGGTTGGCGACCCTTTTCTTTCTAATTTTTCAATGCGCCATGAAAGTTACAAATTTTCGTTGTGGCTAATTAATTCAATTTTTTTTTTAATATTTGTTATCTTTCAACATTAAAAGCGAATTATTAAATACAATTTTTTTATTGGTTTATCAATATTTTAATTAATAATGCAAATACGTCATGGTGAATACATTTTTCAGAATGGAAGGAAAAATAATGATATTGTGATTGCCACGTTTATTAACAAGAAGAAGCGAACGGAGATTTTATGTCATTTTAATGTAAAACTTCATTTTGGACAAAAGTGTAGGATCTCAGTTTATTACGATTTACCTAACGTCATATTTTGATGACAAACCCTCGTTTATGAGTATAGAATTGTAGCTAAATAATTTTACATTTATAAACTCATTATTACTTATTTGCTAAGCTGTATGATTTTATGTAGATATGGATAATACTTTGTGTCGACTTTCAACTACTGTAATTTGGAAAAGTTCCATTAACATAGGAATTGGTGTGGCAAAAACAAATGAAATACGTGAATCACTGTATATTATTGTAGCAGTAACACATCCTAAGCCACGCGCATTGGGAAAATATAAAGAAAACATAACACCTAGAAATATTGAAATCATGGAACATGATGGTTACTTCAAATTTCTTCAGGAAGTAAAAAAACGCGAAAAAAATGTAATTAAATACAAAATCGAGTCATATGTCCAAAAACTTATGGAAACTTTCTCTAAAAAAAATATCAGTATTGAAAAGAAAGAAAACTAAATGTTCAATAGATTCTTATAAATTCTTAAAACACTTATGAAATTGTTATTTATATTGATATAAACTATTAACTAATAATAGGCTCTTAATAAATTTAATAACCTATTAGTAATATGCACTCTTTTAATACATGTATATTATTTTACATAATGCGTTCCATTTGTGTTGCATAGTTTTGTTCCTTTTTTGAAAATTCCGTTAATTGTTAGTTTTTATAATACAAAAATATTTTTAAAACAACACATCACCTTACTTAACTAAAACTATAAAAAAAATACACCAAATGATAGGTAAAGACATCAAGCATCTATAAAAAAAAAATTATATTGATTTGTTCATTTTTAAAAAAGTTACGGCAGTTTTTAGTAAAAAAAATTGAAAAAATTTTGAAAATTAGTAAAGTGTATAAGCTTTAATTTAAGATTAAATAAAATTGTCAATATTTCCGGAACATTTTCAAAAATTACATTGAAAAAGCTGAACTTGTGTGCAAAAATTATTTTTTTGAATTCCCCCTGCGAGGAGGTTTAGAATAAGATTTTCAAAAAATTATATCAATTGAAAGAAAAATATCTAAGTTTTCAATGTAAAAAAAATAATGGTAAATATTAAAATATTAAAATATTTCATAATAAACAGTGATTTTTACAAAAAATTACATTTTTTGTTAAATTTTCTTACAGAAGAAAAGGTGTTGGACAAATTTTTTTTTTGAACTTATAATATTTATTGTAAGCTTTAATTTGACATATGTTTAAAGGACGCAGTATTTTCGGAACATTTTCAAAAGTTAAGTTGAAAAAGCTAGTTTTAGTAAAAAAAGTTGCTATTTTAAATTCCTTCCTTTGAGCAGGTTAAGTGTTAAAATTTCAAAAAAATAACATCAAATAAAAGGAAAATATCAAAGGTTTTAAAAAAAAAAACTTAAGTTGTTTTGTTAATTTTTAAAAAAGTTATGGTAGTTTTAAGAAAAAAAAGTGAAAAAAATTACGAAATATATTGAATTGAAAAATTGTAATTTTTTTGGAAATTTCTCCCATTTACGGGAAACGAGGGAATTTTTTCAATTTTTAAAACTTACCCCAACGTTAACACGTCTTTAACTTTTAAATATTTTTGTACTAACAAATGACTTTTAAACAGTTGTTTTTTTAATTATAAATATGCTTAGTGATTAATGGTAAAAATAAATATTTACTTTGCATAGTTTCATCATCCAACAAAACGAACTCTATGTCTACTGGCGTTAAAAAAACCAAAACGTTGACAGAAGTCAACAAAATTAGATTAAAGGATCAAAATACAGGTAAATATTTTTAAATGATTTTCTAATAAATACTTATAGGTAAAATTATATCAGTTACTGAAATTCGGACAAATTTAAACATAAAATCTGCTGAAACTCCTGAAATAATCGTAAATACACAAACGACGTTTACTGTTAATGCACCGAACAATTTAGGCAACACATTCATTGAAGAACTCGAGTTAAAATATGAGGAAATACAACAACGGCATCATTGAAATAGAAAAATTTGTAACAACGCTGACGTTATATTGTCTGTATTAGCAGACGCTTTTAGTGAGAAACTTCAAATGATACGGACCATTCGTAAAACTAACTCCTCCAAGGCAACTAAAGAAGTATCTAAAAAACACTCTATCTTGGGTAATGATAAAAATAACGAGTCTTTGCCTATAAGTTAGTTAGAAGCTTTAAAAAATCAAATCGCTATGAACTTGCTCTCCCAAATCCCATTCATTCGTCCCTAAGTCAGATGTTAAAAACATTACAAATTCGATTACTTCAAAGTCTTCTTCACGTTATGGTACAGCGAAAGTTTATCTTCCATTGAATAAAGCGAAATTCGTGTTTACGATCCCTGTTAAAGTACCAGGTAGTAAAATTTTTAATGGTCAGTCAGAACATATAGGTCATTTAGCAGCTGTCGTTTACAATATGGACACCTCTATGGCATCATCAAATCAAAACAAAACAAACAAGAAATTTGTGTATAGGATACCCATAAGGATCAATGTTTCAAATGGAAAAAAAATTAGTAATAATTAAATTATTTTTATAATGTTATTCACGAATAAATAATATTAAATAATACTTTAATTTTTCAGGAAAAGTTCACTTAAGATTTTAGATTTATCCTTAAACACTGACAATACATACAATAACACGTAGTTCAATGTCGTAGATTATACAACTGTACTTCTTTATATTCCAGAGTTAAACATGTCAATGCCGAACCCTATACCAAAAATTGTATTAAAAGGACCATTAAAATAACCTTATATTATTATAATTAATGACACAGAAAGATAATTTTAACAATTACTGTTATTGTAATAGCATTTAACTACTGCCTGAAACTCTTGAATAAACTTGTGTCTGTATGAAAAAAAAAAATGCTACAGTATTAAACACTAGTCTTAAAGATTTTATTTCATCGTTAGTCATGAATATCACACTAAGATTTATGTACATTAGTTCATATTTTGTGTTTGTATATGGCCATAGTAGATGATTATAATGTAGTATAGATTTAATAAATATTTATACTTCATTTTGTGTAATTATTAACCGATTATTAGACCATTCATGTATTACATAACTAATAATAAAAATAGTAACATGGAAAAGATATTTAGTTAAAAAAAAAAATTTAATTTTTTGTCTTTTTATGGACAACCTAGAGTACATACATATCCTTAAAGTCTCTGCCCAAAATAAATATATTTCAGTAAAAATAGTTGAAAACAACTCATTTCAACTAGAACGCTCATTATAAGTTCACACAATTTAGATAGATGGTTTTTCATTCTACTATAAAATTTTGATTTTATGACAGTACTTTTCCCATAATAGTGTCTAAACTATTCTATATTTAATTATTTAGATATATTTCAATGTAATAACAGAAGCTGTAAAAACAGTTATAGAAATTAATGTTAAAGGAAGAAGAGGTAGAGGAAGACTAAAAAATAGATGTTACTGAGTGCGATATGAGGACAGCTGATGTGTTATGCAATAAGAGAATTCCAATAAGATTTTTTAAAAGTAGTATTAGACAAAATTTTTTTAGAATCCTAAACAGAAATTGTTATTTAAACAAATAAAATATTTGATCTAAAACTTTACTTTTTAAATGTACAATGGATGGTAATCTACTTGTATTAATTTTTATTTGACACAGTTGCTTTCTATTTAATTGTGTGTGCACAAAATCGGTTATTTTGGGTAATATTTACACTTTTGGATTGTTTGGGTAACTTATACTGATAATGTTGATCTTCATTATTTAGAATGCTCAAATTGATAACATCAATTTCTCCTATTTCATCATCTACTTCTACTGAATTGTTCACAAGCAACTAATTAGAGACTTCAGTAATTTCATCATCAAATACATGACCAATGTTCTAAAAAATATAATAAAGGTTTAATTTGAACTAATTTAAATTCATGATTTTTCCATTTATATAAATGAAAAAATTAATACTTTCAGATGTATTTTATATATATTAAAATAATTAGCAATACCAACATAAATAACTTTATAGTTATTAATTATATTAATTTAAATAGATCCTACTTAAAATATTTTACAAAATTAGAACCATTATATGTAGCACAATAACATAATTTATCTAATATTTCAAACTTTATGTATACTTCATCTTTAGTATTAACTAAGATAACATATGTATGTGACCCTTCTAGTCTTCTCATTGTTAAAAACTTTTATTTCTTAATAAATCATCTTTGATCCATGTGACAATTATTCCAATGTGTGATCTAACAAGATATATTATATTACTGCATATAAAATATATTGATTAGGTACCTACACAAATAAAAATAAATATATTATTTAATTTTTAAAAATCTGCAGTCTTAGTAATATGATCATATTTAATCATCTCAGATTTTATTTTGAAGGATAATTTATGAAAGTCATTCTCAATAATTTTCATTGAAGACATAAGTTTTCTATTTAAGAAACCTCGTTCAATTATTTCCTTTAAAACCGTATTTTTAATTATTCTAAAAGGTAAATTAACACTTATAATAAATTGTTGCAGTAATTGATCTAGAGTATCTGAAATCTAAATTATATAGTATTGATAACAAAGAATAAATTTACAAAAACGTATGTTAAAAGATTTTTAATTAAGTTATAATTTTAATTATATTAAATATTTAATATTGACAAATAACTAATTAGTTTTCTACATTATAAAGTAGCAGTTTTAGAGTTATTTTAACTAAAGTCCTTAAATATTAAACAACTAAAATAAAAAATTACTATGCATATTCTTACTTTGATTAGTAAACTTATTCGCTCAAAAAGTACTCCAAAACTGGCTGATTTATTTTGAAGTATAACACTACTGTTTTCAAGTGATCCATTACAAAATTCTAATATCAAAACTTTCAAAGATTATTATGAAATTAAATTTTTCCCCAATTTTATTTTAATTATAATTATCTTAAAATAATAATTATCTTGAGAATGTTTTTTTTTTTTTGAGTAATGGTTAAATACTTTTTAGTTTTTCGAAAGTCAATCGAGTCAAAAAGTAGGAGCGACAATTTCAAATAACCGGCCAAGCAAAATATCATAAATATATAATACAGTTAATATAATACACACTGTATGAAAGTACGATACTTGGCGGGCAAATGGTAAGATAGAACGAATCCCCGTCTCATTCCATAGTCTCTCAGTTGCGTGGCCTGCGGTAAAGCAGTAAATTCATAAGCAAACTGGCAACGTTGCTTTGAGAAGTCTAAAGGAACAGAGCGTTAAATACGTTATAAACAGCACGTTGCCAGTTTGCTTATGAACTAATCTTTTATTTGAATTTGTCGCTCTAACTTCTTGTCACTCGATTGACTGCAATAATAATTTTCTCAAATATCTGTCCGTCGAATTGTTAACAATCAATGAATTTGTCGCTCAAATAAACTAAAATTATTAGTAATAGTTCGGTCTTTTATGTTACCTTGCTAATTGTTATAAATCGTCCATTAGTATTGTAAATAAATTCATTTATGAAATGTGTATTATGACGGCTATCACAATATTTTGTACAAATTATTCAAGCACCACTTATTCTACATTATATTTATTCTGTTTTGTTCTATTTTTAGCAGAAGTTGTTGATATATTTGATAGAAGTTTTACATTTTCTTATTACAATTTATCGAAGACTAAATATATGATGTAATTTATAATTATTTAATAGGTTATGCACTATAATAACTTTTTTTGTAACTTTTAAATTTAAAATTTAAAAATATAAATGATTGTTAATAAAACTATGAACTTAATAAATGTAAGAAAACTATTACACAAAAATTGTGTAAAGTATTTTTAAAAGTATTAATTATATATATATATATAATGTGATATTTAATTAACTTTACAGAGTGATTGATTTATTATTAAGAAATAAATTTCTCCTTAAGTAATAATCTTAAAAATAATTTTTTTTTGGTTTTGTTGAGTGCTATTTGTCTTTCAACTTATAAATGGTTAAATACTTATTAAGTTTATCCATTATCCTTTATAAGAGTAAAAACTTAATTTTTTTTTTGATAACATCATACATTTTTAAAGCAATAAATATTCGACAAATTCATTGATTATATTGTTTTCGAAGAACAAAAATTAGAGAAAGTTAAAGTCTACAACTGTTAACTAAAAATTGCCTGAAATATTACAAACAATAATAAAATATATGCATAATGTGTTATTTAATTAGTATTACAGAAGTATTGATTTATCACTAACACTCTCTCAATTTATAAATGGTTAAATACTTGTAGAATTCATTCTTTATCCTTTACAACGATATATACTTTCTTAGCCAACTTTCTACTTATGACTGATTGACTTAAGTATCTGTCCATCGAATTGAAAATTCAATGAATTTTGTCACCGTTTTTAAAATATTTTTTTCTCTGATGAAAACGGTTGTTGAAATATATCTCTCAAATAACTAAAATTATTATAAATAGACCATCACGTTTAGATTTTTTTGCTATTAGTTTGTTATTGTATAGTTATTTATCACCCATTAGTATTGTAAATAAATTGAATTTATTAAACGTGTAGTATGACGATTTTGAAGATTTTTAGTGCAAATTAATTAAACACCACTTATAATAAAGTTACTTAAGTTATTCTTTTTTGTTCTATTTTTAGCAGAAATTGTTGTAATGTTTAATGGAAGTTTTGAATTTCATTCGAGATAATATACAGAGTGTTCAGTAAGTAACCAGTAGGTTAGTTCAGTAAGTTAAAAAATCCGTTTCCTTGCTTATTTAACACCCTATGAATATTATAATTAATAATAATTTAATCGGTTATATATTGCAGCTTAAAATTTAAAAATATAAATAATCGTTTAGAAAATTGTGAACCTAATAAATGTATGAAACTGTTACATAAAAATTACATAATATATTACTAAACATATGTTATACGTATATATATATATATATATAAAGGCTTTGTTGAGTACTATTGACCTCTTAAATTTAAAGTAGTTAAATATTTTTAAGGTTTGTCTTTTAACCTTATAAGTGTACAAACTTTATTTTCTATAATAGCAACATACATTTATAACTTATCCAACATATTGGTGACAAATTCATTGATTATTTTGAATTTCATGAACAAGAATTAGAGAAAATAAGTACTGAAGTCAATCGAGCTAAAAGAACAACAAATTCAAATAATCCACTGAACAATATTAAAGTAATAAAAGTATAGTACATATATATATATATTACAAGAGAGAACGTGACTTGACGGCCAAATGGTAAGATACAAAAAAAAGATCCTACATTATTCAGTAGTCACTCGGTTGCGTTTGTTCGTGTCCCATGGGTCAGAAATAAGTTCATAAGCAATCTGGCAACGTTGCTTCCATAAGTCTATATAACTAAAAGGGACAGAGCATTGAAATCATTCTTTACGATTACCAATAACACGTTGTCAGATTGCTTATTGTTACATATTTTATTTGAATTCGTCGCCGTTTTTAATATCTGTTCCGTCTGCTGAAATCTATTGTTTGAAATTGTCGCTCAGATATACTAAAATCATTGCTATTACTCGGCCGTCCGGTTGTGTTATTTTTCTATAAATTATTTACTGCCCATTAGTATTGAAAATAAAGTAAATTTGTAATATGTATGCTATTTATTATGTCGGCTTAGATAATTTTTGGTACAAATCATTCAAGCACCACATTTATTACATTAAAGATATTTTTTTTGTTCTTATTTTAGAACAAATGTTAGCTATATTTGATAGAAGTTTTAAATTTTCTTTTTACATAACATTTGATACTTTTTATATATGATGTAATTAGTAATATTCTAACTTTTAGTAAATTTAAATTATTTATTTTTACTTTTTTTAGCATAAATGTTTGTTATATTTGATAGAAATTTAAAATTTTTATTTATATTTTATTTGAGATTAAATTTATAATGTAAATAATAATAATGAAATCGGTTATACACTATTTTTTGTTTAACTTTTAAATTCAAATTTAAAAATATTAATAATTTTTTACAAAGTTGTGAATTTAATAAATGTATAAAACTATTAAACATAAATTATGTAAAATATTACTAAAAATATTTTTGAAATTTTGTTTAATTAAATTTAACGAATGATGATTTATCCTTGACCACTAAATATTTCTAAAGTAATAATAATTTTAGAAATTTACTAACTACCCCAAGTAGTTGGAATTAAAGCTATGAAAAAAAAGAAGAAGAGAATTTTTTTTTTCCTTCGTTGAGTACTGTTTATCTCTCAACATAAAAGTGGTTAAATACTTTTTAGGTTCGTCCTCTATCCCATATAAGTATAATAACTTTATTTTTTTAAATGATAACATACATATTTAACTTACTCATAAGATAAAAATTTAAAACTTATACTTGAAAACAAAATTTGGATCAGTATTTCAGAAATTATTACTATTTTTGTATTTAGCGCGGGTGATATTGCGCGGCCTAGAATCGTCTAATTACAAAAGTATTAATAATTTCTGAAATACTGAGCCAAATTTTGTTTTTAAATATAAGTTTTAAATTTTTTTCTTACGTAAATTATTTAAATACTAGTGTACTGTAAGAAAGCAATTGTGGAGTAATAAAGTTAAAACTAAACAACATATTTATGTTAAATTTATAAATATTTAATTAATTTGATAATTAATAATTGAGAAAATGAATACTGAAATTGAGACAAAAATACGATAAACAAATTCAAATAATAGGATAAACAAAATAAATGTATAGTACAATATATATATATATTCAATAAATTGAAAAAAGTAAGAGCGACAATTTCAAATAACCGGTCGATCAAACTATAATGAAGGTAAATACTATGAACATATTGCACGAATGAATAAATAATTTGTCTATCAAATGGTAAGATGATAAACGGCTCTTATTTTACCCAATAGTCACTCCTTTATGTTTTCTCTGGCCCTAATTACAAATAAGTTTATAAGCAAACTGGCAACGTTGCTTTCATAAGTTTGTATAATTGAAAGGGGCCGAGTGCTAAAAACGTTCTTAATGTTTATAAACAACATTTGCCAGTTTGCTTATGAACTAATCTTTTGTTTGAATTTTTCGTTCTTAATACTTGTGGCTCTATTGACTTCAGTATTAATTTTCTCAAATATCTGTCCATCGAATTGTTAATAATTAATGAATTTGTCACCGCGTTTAAAATATATTTTCTATCTACTGAAAACAGTTGATTGAATTTACCGCTCAAATTTTGAGTAAAATACACCATTAGTATGGTAAACTAAAATTATCACTTTTAATATGACACGGTCCCGCGTCGCTTCACGATACACGAAACCCCGCGACCCGTCCCATATTTATCACCAATCGCCCTATTACGTGAATATGGTAGTTTGATTGCATGACACTGCGCGAGATACGCTACGGTACGGTACAAAGTCCAGCAAGTGCCACACGTCTCTCGATGACCCGCCGCAACATTACGTTGTAGTCGTTTCGTCCAAACTACAGTTTTTCGCCTCACGTATCGGCTTCAATATTTACATACTGTTATATATTATTAATTAGTTTTATTAATTATTATTAGTTTTACTTTTTTTTTTTTTCAATTAAACTGCTCGACGCCATTCAGTTTTATATTAGCCCAGTACTGTCTACGTTATTGTGTTCGGCACACTAGTGTTTCCCCTGTCAAATAGCCCATCTGGTTTGGTTATATTCCTTGTTATTTATCGCCTAATAGTATTATTAATTGTTGCATTTATCAAATGTATGCTGTTTATTATTTCAGCTTATTCAATTTTTGCTACCAAAATTCAATCACCACTTTCTTTATATTATTTTTTTCTACTTTTAGCAGAAATTGTTGTTGCTTGATGGAAGTTTACAATTTTCTGTTTACATTTTATTTGATACCAAATGTATGTTGCAGCCTACATTTATTAAAATATAGTTTTATAAAAAGTTATCATAAGAAAATCAATCCTTATAAAAATAATATCAACAAATCCGAATATTAATGGTATATAATTTTACTGTTATTATATTAGATCTATGATTATAGATAATTGTCTGTTATCTCAAATCAAATAAATCAATTTTTTATTATTTAATGAATTTTTTTCTTTATTCTATTTATAAATGAAGGATGCCAAATTTTGAGTCATTCCAATAACTAATTAAGTAGATTAAAATCAAAAAGAACTGCCTTTAAAAACAAATTAAAACACCCAGCACAGGGGGGGGGTCGCGGCACAGTGGTGACGTGGCATAGTTGGATCAAGTATTATGATATCTGACAGTGATTAAAATCACTATCA